ACCAGAGCCGTCAAATGCTGCAAGCAGTTTTTTGATCAGCAGTAATTGGCATTTGCCGATCACGTAGCAGGAAAATATTCTTTGCCGCCGCTTACGACACCAGGAGGAGCCTAGTGCATGAGTTAGAAAAGAGACGTATTTGCTTCAAACTTACAGTATTTCATGCATATGCATGGTCCCGCGAAAACATCTCTATCAGATGAGTCTCGTTCTCTTTAACCACCAAGAAGTTCCAAATCAACATTCTTCAGGCTAATTTAATAATAGTCTTTCAAGTACTTAATCTTGTTTCGTTTGACTTACAGAAAAGTTAGTCTTCACTTTTTTTTTGGTTATTTTTATGTAAGGGTAGCTGAGACTTTTTTAGTGCCCAATTAATCTCCACGGATACAAGTTACCCATCCCATGCATACGTTGGGGTAACATTCCTATGGAATTTTGATGATTCCAAAACCATGTTTAGTACTAATGTATATTATGACTGAGTGCATATTGTAAATTTGGCTAAAAAATTATCAATGATTCCTTGTATCAGCAAGATGAGAAACTTTGCTTTGACAATTAGGGGTGCGCATGGAATGCATTCCGGAATAAAAATTCTGTTCCGGAATGCATTCCGGAATAGAATGGCGTTTGTTAAAAAATTTCGGAATGCGTTACTGGAGCGATTTTTGCATTACGGAATAAAAATGTGTTTGTTAAAAATACTTGATTCTAGAATGCATTCTTGATTCAGAATGCATTCTTGATTCGGAATGAGCTTTTGGCAAGAAAAGAGAAGCTACTTTTTGTAGGCTTGATTCGGAATGCATTCTCCTATTTTCTCACAATGATTTTTTCAGAAAATGCATAAAAATTGAAAATTTCTAGAAAAATTCATAAAAATTTCAGAAAAAAAAAAAAGTCAGATTTCGGGAAAATATGAAATTTGATGAATTTTTTTAAATAAAAAAATCAAAAATTTCAAAACTTCTGAATAGCTTAAAACACATGTGGCCAGCTTTGAGTGAAATTTAAATTCTTTGAGGTGCCCAAAAAAATCAAAAATTTCAAAACTTCACAAAATGGCTTAAAATACGCGTGGCCACCTACTTTGAGTGAAATTTAAATTTTTGAGGTGCCCAAAAAAATAAAAATTTTCAAAACTTCACAAAATAGCTTAAAATACTGTGGCCACCCACTTTGAGTGAAATTTAAATTTTTGAGGTGCCCAAAAAAATAAAAAATAATAAAAAATTTCAAAGCTTCACGGAATGGCTTAGAATATCGCAGCCACCCACTTTGAGTAAAATTTAAATTTTTGAGGTGCCCAAAAATAAAAAAAATAAAAAAATTCAAAACTTCACAAAATGGCTTAAAATATTTGTGGCCACCCACTTTGAGTGAAATTTAAATTTTTTTAGGTGCCCAAAAAAAATTAAAAAAAATCAAAAATTTCAAAACTTTATAGAATGGCTTATAATACATGTGGCTACCCACTTTGAGTAAAATTTAAATTTTTTAGGTGCAAAAAAAATCAACAAATTAAAAGCAGAGTTACATTCGAGAAATCAATTACGGAAGCGAGAATTAGTCATGTTTTACCAAATGATTTCTCCTCCAGGAAATCAATTTACGGCAAGAATTCGGAAATCAATTTACAGCAAGAATTTGATTTACGGAGCGAGAATGGTTACCATTCGCACCCTAGGAGAACAAGTACCAATGTGAGTGGTATCTTAAAGGTGGGAAGATCATTGGTCCTGACATCATGTGTCATTTGGTCAGTATAATCATTGAAGATCGTCAACCAGATCACGCACAATCTGCGCCAATGATAGTATGCATTGGATCGTGTGGTGATGCATTGGCTCTGATGTTTGTGAGATATGTAATGGAAGATACCGTTGATGGTACATAAATAGCCGTTAAAGAACTAGACTCCATCACTGGACAACCAAGAAAAAAATCAGAAAAGCAACCAATAGTTTTCTACTTTAGGATAGTTACAGCAGACTCCATTTTAGGAAATCTGTGACAATCGAGCGATTGTAGGATTAGTCCCGATTATATCTGAGGTCTCCAATGACTCTCAAACGGCTAGCTAGGCATCCTTGAAGGTCTCCAACGGATAGATTGATGACTTCAATATATAAGGAGCACCAAAGCTAAGAAGAGGGTTGGGCACGTTGAATATTGCAACTACAATCTAAGCTAGAAATTGTCTCTAATCTTGTTCTAAGTTTCTCTCTGTAATTTTAGCACTGTGATAGTTGATAGTTGAGTGTACAAGTGCAAGTGCAATGATTGTGTCTTGATAGTGTGATTTATCATGTGAAAGGAGCAACACTAGCCAGTTGTAACTTGCTTTACTGATTACTGATGTAATCCAACCGTTGTTAAGGTTGTTATGAGATAGTAGACATAGGCTTAGATATAAAGCTGAACCATGATATATTGTTGTGTGATTTACTTATCTCACTCTGTTTACTTACTAGCATCACACACATAAACTTACATCTGACACTATTTTGTGTGCTACAAAGGTTTTACAGTATCATCACACAACCTATTCAACCCCCACTTCTAGGTAGTATTGTTATCGAAAATGCACACTTTTATGCTCCTAGGGTAGTCTCGAGAGAATTTGAAAGTGTAGTAATTTGAACCAGGCTTGAATGAGGAGGGTAAACATGCTTACCACTTGAGCATACCCACGGGGTAAATATGCTCTTCATTTTTTGATACCTTTGGACCTGCTTCGAGCTGACTAGTCCCCTCACTTTGATTTGTCTCAAGTGGGAAGTCGATATCCCATTCCTCCCAATAATTCTTGGAGGGTGAAGAGTTTCCCCTAGACTCTGATCGATTCATCTTAGTTGCTTGATTTCCTGAAGTGAGAAGAGCTTTGACAGGAAAAATTATCCAAAAAGTGATAAACTTATTGTATAATTGTCAATTCTGTCATAAACCTTTTAATTTTGCTAATTGAGTCCTGAACCTTTTCACGTTTTGCCAATCAAGTAAATTCGGCCACTTTTGGCCGTAAATTGATGATGTGGGCAGCGGTCGTCTTACGCGGCACGACCTATGTTGATGTGGATATTTTTATAATAATATTTTAGTTTTTTAATTTTTTTTCCTTTCTTTTTCCTTTTTTTTTGTTTTTTTTACACCTATAGTCGGTGACCTCGCCGGCCACAGGCTAGGGCCAACGCCCTCGTCAGCTACAAGCAAGGGCGTCGGGCCCTCACCCAAATCCAAGCAAGGGCCATGAGCCCCTTACCTGTGGCTAGCGAGGCGTCGCGGCCCTCGCCAAATCCAGGCGAGGGCCACGAGCCCTTCGCTATGCTAGCCGGCAAGAGGTGTTAAAAAAAACAAACAAACAAAAGAAAAAAAAAAGAAAAATTATAAAAAAAATATTTACGTTAGTGCTGGTCGTGTCACGTAAGGTAGCCGGCGTTCACGTCATCTTGGTCGGATGAACTCAATTGGCAAAACGTGAATAGATTTAGGATTCAATAGGTAAAATTAAAATATTTTCGAATGAATTGGCAAAAGTACAATATGTTTACGACTTTTTTGACGATTTTCCAGCTTTCACAGCAAATCCAATAGCAAAGGAAGGCCTAGGGGAGCATCCCAGCTTTAGCAAAAAAGGCAAGGTCGCTCTCCCAGTTGACGAGAAAGCTGTTGTACCCAACAAGGAACAAAAAAGATTCATGGCGCTGAAAGAGACAAACAAAATAGAAAACACTAATCAAGATCAAAATCATGAGAAGAGAAAAAGAGGGATTTTCCTAACACACCATGTAAATAATACAGAGTGAGGATCTACCTAAGCCCCTTATATGCTCTTGGCTAATCTATTTTGAAACTATAATGTGTCTTGCCGTGGGCTTCGAATGTTCTGCCGAAGGAGCGGTGGACGGTGGTCAAGAATGGAGGGTGCAAGTGATGGCGGGAGAGAGAGAGACTTTTTGGTGGGATGTTTGGTAGATATGAGGTGCAAATCCGATCGTTAATTGGGTTGGGATTGTAGATGAGTCTTTGGAAGTAGGATAGTACCCCTCATTCCATACTTTACATCTTAGTAAGCAGGTAATCCATGAAGTCATCTAATCAAAGACCATAATTCCTTTAAAACAAACCCGGGTTGCCTTTTGTTAAATCTAAAACATAAAAACATTGTGATCCGGGTCGTAACTCGGCTTAATAAGTTTTTCACTTATGTGATGTACTTAGGGTACTTTTGTTCAGAAATTAATGTGGCAAAAAAGTTGTAATTGAGCGGATTTGGACAGGGATCAAAACCGCATAAACTTATTCAAGTTGGGTTAGAAACTGCCATCAAGAAACCCGCCTTTGAAATTCAACTAGGCTAATCGAGTCCTTGCTTTGGATAGAATTAATCCGTTTTTAATCCTACATATACCGGCAGAACCTGTCTGACCGCAAGATCATTAGCCATGCAAAACTAATATTTATTTTGTGGCCGCCTTTCAGCGTACTAGAATAACTATTTCACGAAGACGAGGATCTCTATGTTCACGTGGAGGTTGCACTACAAAAGAGGGTCCCACTTCGACTCTCTTTCCGCTCTTTGAAGAGTATAATATAAAGATTAATCTATGGCCCGAAAGAGACCCGGACGGTCTTAATTACCAGTTAAAAGATAATTACCTTGAAAAGACGTGGCCGACTATGGCCCCCTTAACAATTAAGTAATAAATAATACATAATAATTTCCATAAAAAATTAAATAATAGTTAATTAAACATATTGCGGTATTGTAATGAACGCTTCCGCAACGTAAGAACTTCCAAGAATCTTCCAAGAAAAGGAAGAAGAACCTAGCCGGGAAACTTGCCGGAACAAAACTCTAGCTTCCTCATCTTTATCTCTATTATTATATTGCATGAACAGCATGTATAAGTACCCTTGCCGTCTCATCGATCAAACTCCCCCCAAAAACCTTCAAAAAAAAAAGAAGAAAATTCCACGGTATCTTCAACAAGATGATGCCGTCAGAATTCCATAGAGTACCTTCATGGCCTTTCTTTGAGGTCGTGAACGATCCTGTTGGTGGTGTTATGGGGTCTTGTCCCAATTCGGATTTCTACATTGGAGGAGATGAATTTTGTTCACCCTTCACCAGTACAGAGGACTCCTCTCAGTCTCTATCCTCCTCTTACTTGCCCTCCGAGTTTTCGCCGAATCTCGGTGAGATTCATAGCTCCAAGATTAGCGAATTGGAGACTCTTGAAGCTATCCTGATGGAGATCGATGGGTTCGAGCCAATCTCAAGCTGCAATGATAAGGGATGGACCGCTAGCCCCAGTATCGGTAACGATGTCTCATCAGTCCAACCGACTTTAATCCTGCCATTCGAGGGAATGGAGGTCGATAATAAACTCGGCCTCCCTCATCTCCTTAAGGCATATGGAGAGGCCATGGAAAGCGAGCAGAGCAAGCTCCTCGATGTGATCTCCGGATGCATCAGCGAGAGAGCAAACCCACTTGGTAACGCGATGGATCGCCTTACCTTCTACATGTTGGACAGAAAACAAGACCTTAATTACATAAAACAAGAGGCTTTCAAGAACTTTAAGCCTGCATCAAATGCAATATACCAAATATCCCCCCATGGGAGATTTGCCCATTTTGCGGCAAATTCAACGATTCTCGAATCCATCCCCAAACACATCGAGGCCGTGCATGCCATAGACTTTGACATGGGAGATGCGTTCCAATGGTGGGCATTCATTGAATCCATGGCAATGGAGAGGAGACGTGTAGCTCTAAGGATAACTTCGATGAAATGGGATGATGAGGACAGTTTGATCGGATTTGAGGAGGCGAAGAGGAGGCTTCAAGAGCAAGCAAAGGCTCTTGGTGTGGAGTTGGTGGTGGAAGAGATGAGGATTGATGCGTTAGTGAGTGAGATGAACAGACTAAGCAAAAGAGGAGGTAATAATAATGGTATGAGATCACAATGGATGGTCTTCAATGTAATGCAGGGTCTTCCACACATGGGAAGGAGGAGAAGTGAGAGGCTAGTTGGCGAGTTCTTGAGATTGGCCAAAGAAGTGATTGCACATCCCGCGATCGGAGGCATAATAACTTCGGGCCAAGGAGAAACTAGCTGCGAATCGCGAAATTGCTCGGGTTTTGGCGAGTTCTTCGAAGAGAATATCAAGTATTACCATGCAATTTTGGAATCAATTGAGTCAGATTTCCCAAGCCAGCAGCTTGTAGAGGCAAGGCTAGCTGTGGAGTCTCTTTTTGTCTCACCCTTTGTTTCTTGTCTTGACTGGTTCCAAACTTGGGAAGAAATAAGGGAACGTTTGGATGTTCCGTTGGGGTCTTGTTGTGTGGATGGTTGGAGAATAAGCCAAGCAAGTCTGATGGAAGCCATGAGGTTGATCAGTGGGAAGAGGTCATATTCAGTGGCAATTGGAGAAAATGAGAACGAGATGGTGTTGGAATGGAAAGACTCCCACATGCCTCTGGTCAGATTTTCAGCTTGGGGGAATCTCTTTATGTTCAAAGCAATTGTATAGAATTTTACGTTCCAAATGCGTTCTTTTTCTTTTGGAACGCATCGAAGAGTGAGAGTAAATATTTGTGTATATGATTTGTTTTATCTGTGAAAGGAAATCTGAATTCAGTCTAATAATTGTTTCTATGATTCCATTCCATGGTAGAAAAATTAAAGGGACGATTTGATGATCATTGAATCCTATGCGTAGACTATGATTAATTCGTATAAGACGACGTGGCATCTCACCTTAGTTTTACATACTTTTAGCACTAGACTGGTTAAATCTTGACCTGGTTAAATATTTACCGTATTTAGAAGGAAAACTCAAACTTGGCATAATTAAAATGTGCATAATGTCTCCGTCAGTGTTCATCTGCTCATAGAAAATCAATAATTTGATAACCAGTTTCCCTTCATTCCCAACTCCTTGTGCAGGTTCGTTCTCTCTCTCTCTCTCTCTCTCTCTCTCTCTCTCTCTCTCTCTCTCTCTCTCTCTCTCTCTCTCTCTCTCTCTCTATGTTCGCAAAACTCCTCATGCCGATTGCCTCAATCCGAGGTCACGGCATCACGGGCTTGGAGCTGAAGGAGGCAATTAATGGTAATCAAGAGAGAGATTGGTAGGATGTTCGGTAGATATGTGATGCAAATCTGACCGTAATTGGGTGGAGATAGTAGATGAGTCTTTGGAAGTGAGACAGTTCCATACTTTACGACCTAATAAGCAGGGATCACCATGAACCCTAAAATCCGTGGAGTCATCTAATCAAAGACCCCAATTTCTTCAAGATAAACCAGGTTATATACATCGTTTTATTGAATCTAAAACATACGAACATTATGATAGTGATTGCTACATGGCTTGAGATGATTTTCACATATTGTGTGTGCTAGAATACTTCTATTCAAAATTTAACGCGGAAGAAGAGTAGTAATTGACCGGATCTCAACAGGAATCAAAATCCCATTTATGCTTATTTGAGCTGGGTTTGAAACTTCCATTGAAAACCCGACTTTAAAATTCAATTAGGCTTCTCGAGTTCACGCTTTGGATAGAATTCATCCAATTCAAGGCAGTCTCGCAGACATTCCCAACTTCACAGGGAGACGTAACTTCCAGATATACGGGTAGAAACTCTCTGATCTTAAGATTATTAGCCATGCAAAACTAATATTTCTTTTGTGGCGACGTCTGCTTGTGCTTTCAGCGTACTAGAATATGTGTTCCTCGGAGACGAGGATTTCTATGTACGTAGTGGTTTTACTACAAAAGAGGGTCCCGCTTCAACTTTCTTTCTCCTCTTTCAAGAATATAATAAAAGATCATTTTTAACCCTAATGTAATACGATGCACACGGATGATTGCAATTTGACGTTGACACCCATCGCATTCCTGTCCTTTTCTTGTTCAACTTGGGAATATTTCTGACTAATGGAAAGGTAATTATCAAGAAAAGACACGATAATGGCCCTTAACGATTAAGTAACCATTATTTAATCTTATTGTGTTATAGTAGTGAACGCTCACGCAACGTAACAACCTCCAAGAATCTGCCAAGAAAGGGAGAAGACCCCAGCAAGGACACTTGCTTGAATAAAACTCTTCAATACATAATCCTCATTTATGTATTGTATAGCATAAACCACAGACATAAATACCCTTGACGTCTCATCGATCAAACTCCCCCAAAACCTTCGGAAAATAATGCACAACATCCTCAACAAGATGGTGCTGTCAGAACTCTATAGAGTACCTTCATGGCCATTGTGTGAGGTCACGAACGATCCTGTTGGTCATGTTATGGGGTCTTGTCCCAATTCGGAATTCTACATTGGAGGACATGAATTTTCTGTTTGTAAGAAATGTGTTTGTAGGAAATGAAATCGGAATGTAGTCGGACTTTGAGGCGTGTAGTCACTCTCTTTTATGATCAATTTGCCCCACAAAGTTGCTATAGGTTACTGGCAAATTCCCTTCAAGATACAACAAAGTCACTGTGAAAATACTGGATAGCAATTCTAATAAATCTCCTAAAATTCTCTACGAAACAATTGAGAAAATGGTTGTCTTATTTTTCTCTTAAGGAAGACGAAAATGAAGGAATTTCTGTTCATCTTTTAATTGAACAGAATTGTCCAATATATATAAGCAAATAGAACACACATCTTAGTGTCTAACTGCCAATACAGACACACCCATTCATGCCCAAAAAGTTGCAAAATTCGGACATAACCATTCACGTGCAAAAATCGCCATTCGAACACAACCGTTCATGTCCGAAAAGTTGCAATTCGGACACAACTTTTCAAGCACGAAAACTGTCAATTTTGTACATAACTTTTCGTATTCTAAAATGGACAGTTTTGTCCGAACATACAAAACGTTCCAAAGGTTGTAAGAGAAGCAGAAAATAAAAATTCGAAATTAAATTATTAAAATTAATCGCCACTCTATTGCAAATAGTCACACTGCTTTAATAGAACAAAACAATTATTTTATAATAAAAAATTCAAAATTTAATAAATAAAAATAAAATAAAATAAAAATAGATTGTTGATTAAGGCTTATTTTGGTCCGCGGCGCACTTGCGTGCTAAAGTGCGTGTTAAAATCGCACACCCGCACGCAGGTATAGTGGGGTTTAGCACATTCACCCATTTTCTTCATTTATAATAAAGGATAATACCTTAACTTATAAATAGACCAAAACTTTCCTTTCTTTCTTATGTGGGACAAGGAAATAGCCTTTTTTGTTTGTTTTACAAACAAACACCAACATTTTCCTAATCCATCCCTAAACTTGGAGATCACCAATGATGTCGGTAATAAACTCGGCCTCCCCCATCTCCTTAAGGAATATGGAGTGGCCATGGAAAACGAGCAAAACGAGCACCTCGATGTGATCTCAGGATGCATCGAGAGAGCGAACTCGCTCGGCGACTCGATGGATTGCCTCACCTTCCACATGTTCGATATAAAACAAGACCTTCATTGCATAAAAGAAGAGACCTTCAAGAACCCGAAGCCAGCATCAAGTGCAATATATGAAATATCACCCCATGGGAGGTTCGCCTATTTCGCAGCAAATTCAACAATTCTCGATTGCGTGCCCGAATAGGTGGAGGCCGTGCATGTCATAGACTTCGACATGGGAGAAGCGATCCCATGGTCGGCATTGATCAAGTCCATGGCCATGGGGAGGAGATGTGTAGCTATACGGATAACTTCGATGAAATGGGACGATAAAGAGGGTTTGATCGAATTTGAGGAGGCGAAGAGGAGGCTTCAAGGACAAGCAAAGGTTCTTGGTGTGAAATTGGTGGTGGAAGAGAAGAGGATTGATGCGTTGCTGAGTGAGATGAATACAACACTCCATTTGTTTCGCGAAAAATATTTTTCAAGCAAATATTTTCCTTATTTTTCAGTGCTTGGATCACTTGGAAAAATGAGCCAACATAAAGCCTATATTTAAATTCATGAAAATCATTTTTTAAAAAAAATTGTAAATCATTTAAAAATATGACTAGATATTGGCATTTAGACCACAAACTTTGTGCTTGGATATGGAAACTCTTTCTCGGACCTTAGTAGCAGGCCCGAGTTGGGGTTGGTTTACTGGGGTCCACTAAGGGCAAGACCGGGTACATCAAGGCAAGGTCCAAGACCCTAGTGCCCATGCCCGGGAACTCGACGCATGGGCCCGGGTCCATCAAGCCCAAGCCCAGGACCCCCATATATACCCGTACTTGGGTTCCCTGCACCAGGGCCTGGATCCATCGAGGCCGAGCTCAAGACACCCGTATTTGTGCGCTAGTCCTCGACGCTTGGGCTCGGGTCCATCGAGGTCAGGCTTGGGACGTTGGTGCCCAGGATAAGGTCCTAAGCGCCTGAGCCCAAGTCCATCGTGGTTGGGCTCAAGTCTATTGAAGTCGAGCCCGAGACCCTGTTCTCGTGCTCAAGTCCCTAGCGCCCATGCCCAGGTCCTCGGTGCTCAGAAAATATGTCCATTGAGGTTAGGCCAAAGATCCCGGTGCTCGAGATCGGATCCATGAGACTTGAGCCTAGGCTCAGGTTCCTAAGTCCCCAGACTCGTGCTCGGGTTTTCGACGCTCACATCCCTAGTCAATTGAGGCCAAGCCCAAGTCCCCAGCACCCACAACCGGCTCGTAAGCACTTGAACCTGAGTCTATCAACGTCGAGCCCAGGACCTCGGTGCTCGTACCGAGGACTTTGGTTCTCGCGCCCAGGTTCATCAAGGTTGGGCCCGAGTCCCCGATGCCCTTGCTTGAGTTCCTAGCTCTCAAGCCTGGGTATATCGAGGTCAGGCTAGGGTCCCCAATATGCTAAAGTTCCCGACACTCGGGCCCAAGTCACGGTGCCGCACCTAGGTCCATCAATGTCGGCCCTAGGTCTATCGATGCTAAGCCCGAGTCCTTGACACCCGAGCTCGGGCTCGAGACCCTAGTACCCATGACCAGACTCGGGCACCCGGGACCTATGCCCCGCCTCTATGGACCACAGCTCGGGCTCAGGGACTTGGTCTCAGGCACTCGGGTTCTAAGCTAGCCTTAATAGACCTGAGCGTGAGCATTAGAGACATGGGCATCTGCATCGGGATCTCGTGCTTGGCCTCGATAGACCCAAGCACAAGTGTTGGGGTTCCGAGCTTAGGCGTGCAAGACCTGAGCATTGGCACCGAGGTCTTAGGCCCGGCCTCGATGGACCCAAGCACGGGCACCAGAATCCTGGTGACCCTAGTGCCCACGATCGCAGCCCCAGCCTCAATGGACTTGTGCTCTAGCGTCGGGGTCCCAGGCCTGACCTCGAAGGGCTCATGCTCGGGCGCCAGGGCCTTGGCCCGGCCTTGACGAACCCATGCTCAGGCGCTGGGGTCTGGAGCTCGGCCTAGATGGACCCGAGATCGGTAGCTCAAGAGCCAGGGATCCTGGCCCGGGACCCCGATACCTGTACCCGGTTCCCTAGCTGCCCATGCACTAGTCATGAGCGCCCGAATAATGTATATCTATTTGGAAAAATCAAATTAGATTTTCCTTACCAAATGACGAAAGATATTTTTTAGTTCATTTTCATCTCACACTCATTGATTTATGAAATTTGGAACCTACAACCTACTTTGCAACATTTGTCAGCAAAACGCCAGTACTTTTACTTAAAATACATGTATATACGTGGTTTAAGTAAACCTTCCGACTTTGGCGTGTTAATCGAACATACAAAAATGCTTGTTCTTTTAAAACAAACAAGTAATATACGTATAGAACACATGGCATATTATACGCGAGCAAACCTACTTTAATGTTTAAATTGTTTCATATCTTTTCATTAGCGTATTCAGGATGTAACATGTTAATTATCACTTTATTTTTCGAAGCACTTCAGGATATCATGGTCCAAAGTTCTTTTGATAGTACGGAAGAGTAACAAAATTTCAATTATTAGATATGATTATCTTTACATAACTTTGTAATCCAAATGCTACTATTCTAATATGCAAGCTCTTTCAGTCGTAGCACCATCGATGTAAAGTCATGAAAACATCATTTTCAATTATGATTATAAGAACGCCAAAGTTTTTCCACGTACTTTTACGAAAAAATGGCGACATAAAATCTAGGAGTGTGTTATCCCGTTGATGCTAAATGGTATGCTTTATCCTTTAGATGAGGCTAATTACATCTTCCAAATCCATGTATTCGAAAAAATAGATCCGAGACGTGGTTTCGCCTAGTCATACTTCAAAATCGAGCAATCTCAATCTCGAAAGTAATTCCAAGCAACATAAAAATCGATAGCCAGACTATACGCAAACCAGATGACATGACCATGCTCTAACAAAAATATTTGGCGACCTAAACTCGATTAACCAGTAGCCAATAGATTTGTTTAGCTGAACATGCATATGCATTTTACTTAGAAACATACCACAAACTATTAGTTAACCACACATGGTTTTATTCTTCCACTCCTAGTTGATTTGGTCTACGTGGACCACAAACAGGGAAGGACTAAATCAACAGACAGTATATCATATACTGTGCTTAAAGGATCTGGCGTTATCTTGCTTCGTCGGCACCACGGACAGCGGAATTCGCTCCTCGACGAGCTGAGTTGCAAGCGAGGGGTTTTGCCGGGCCGCCCTTGTAAGCCTTGCACACATGGTGAATGAAATTCAAGAAGTCCTGCAACCACAACGTATCAGATCCAAGCGAGAGAGAGAGAGAGAGAGAGAGAGAGAGAGAGAGAGAGGGTATTAGGATACGAACATCGTAGAGCGGTTGGTTGTTCACAGCAACCCACGGGGTGTACTCGTGAGGTGGGATAAGCTGATCGGTCTCGGTTTTGTATCGTAGTTCAAGCTGCAACAGACAAGTTTATTAGGGCAAAAGTACACCACAAGTGCCATAACTTATGTACGGCGATCACTTCGGTGCCATAACTTTTTTTCGGATCACTTTGGTGTCAAGTTGGAGCAAAAGAAATCACTTTAGTGCCAATTTGGCCGGAAATCCGACGTGGCATTTTTATTAATTTTTTACTCCGATGTGGCTCACATGGAGAATTATAGAGTCAGGCAGTGTACGATCGGCATTTTTAATTTTAAATAATTTTTTTTAGCGTGTACAGTCAGCATTTTTAATTTTAAATATTTTTTTTTCCTTTTTTTTTCTTCTTTCCTTTTTCTTTTCTTTTCTTTTTTTTTCTTTTCTCCCCTCGCCGGGTGGTTGCCGGTGGCCGCCGCCACCAGCGAAGCCGGAAAGGGCTGGGCGAAGGGCGGCCTTGCCCATGGCTGCGAGGGGCGGCGACCCTCGCCGGCGACGAGGGCGAGGCCGGCCCTTGCGAGCCCGGGCGAGGCCGGCCCTCGCCAGCCCCGGGGCGAGGCCGCCCCTCGCCGGCCTAGGCGAGGGCGCCCTCGCTCGGCGCGCCGGTGAGGGTCGCCCTCGCAGATCCGGCGAGGGCGACCCTCGTCGGCGTCGGCGAGGGGAAGCCCTCGCCTAGGCGGGCGAGGTCGCCCTCGCCCCGGAATCCGGCGAGGGCGACCCCTTGACCCAGGCGAGCTTCGCCTTCGACGCCGCGAGGGTCGCCCTCGCTAGATCCGACGCGGCGGCCCTCGCGGCGTCGGGTGAGGGCAGCCTCGTCTGGGCAGCGAGGAGGCCGGCACTGCTCGCTTCGCGGCGAGGTCGGCCGCCCCTCGCCGGCCATGGGCAAGGCCGCCCTCGCCCTAGCCCTTCCGGCTTCGCCGGTGGCCGGCCGGCCACTGGCAACCGGCCGGCGAGGAGAGAAAAAAAAAAGAAAAGAAAAGAAAAATGAAAGAAAAAAAAAGGAAAAACTATTTAAAATTAAAAATGCTGATTGTTTACGCTAAAAAAATTATTTAAAATTAAAAATGTTGATCGTATACCTGACTTCGCCTCATGAGCCACGTCGGCGTAAAAAATTAATAAAAAATGCCACGTCTGATTTCGGCTAAATTGGCACTAAAGTGATCTCTTTGCTCCGACTTGGCACCAAAGTGATCCGAAAAAAGTTATGGCACCAAAGTGATCGCCATACACAAGTTATGGCACTTGTAGTGTACTTTTGCCAGTTTATTAGTTTAGATCACAGGACACAGGCGCATCACAATAATTACTGAGGTGATGATTCTAGGAGAAATAGTTGTAGTCACAGCTTAATTCGACGCAGGAGAGACATTCAAAACGTCGTCGTGCAAAATGAGAAACAAATTTCAAAGTGCCAAGCAAATCTAAGCAGGAGAGTGTGGGTTCTGAAACTGACCACACTATTCTCTTCCAATTCCTAGACTCAGAGCAGGTTAAAACAGAGGATTGGTGAGAGGGCGGCAAATCCATTAAAACAAGCATGGTTCGTCGAGCTACGACACGTTTCTTCATGTATGGATCGCGAAACAGTGGTGGAATATGCTGCGAGCAAGCATCGGCTTACGATTACGAAATTGTGGTTTTACCTCTCTTCCACGTCCGCTGGTGTAGCACTTGTAAATGTCTGCTTCCTCCAATTTCTGCTCTTCAGCACAAGACTCCCAGACTTTTAAGGCTGCAACGTTTGAGGACTTTTCCTGATACACAGCAGAGACCTTCCCCGATTGCAGCCCGCCCTTGGAGATATTACGCTCCACGCAGCGAATGAAATTGAAATGCCGTTTCTGAACCGAGTACAGTACATTAAGAGAAATAATTTAGTCAATTCGAACCAAAAGCATGAAATCTTTTGGCACATCGTGTATTTAGATTGAAAATATAGATAAGGGCCAAAGCAACCCGAAGCCACTCTTACCTGATCAGACCAGACATCGATGGCACAAGCTTGAATGGTGTTGAGGTAGCATTCATCTTCACCATGCTGAAACAGAATTCAGAGGACTCATAACGGGTAGTAGCCAAATCATCGGGCGAGAGAACTTATTGACACGAAGAAGAAGGAAATTTGAGTTTTGATTTTGAAACTACACCTGGCATATGAACGCTCCGGTGCGATTGTCGATTCGAGCATTGCCCCAAGGGACCATTCTGAGGTTGATGATGTTTATGAGATCGGTCTCGAAGGTTTTCACGAGGTAGTCGGCTATGAAATCTGCGCTGCCGGGGCATAGGCTTTCGTAGTAGACGGACAAGTTCACCTTATCATCATCAGAAGACAACGAAGGAGATGGGGAGATGAGGAAGAGGAACAGAGTCACAAGGGCGAAGGGGAATAATCTGCCACCAGAAGCCATTTTTGTGCTTGCCTTGTTAATTGCCAAGCGCAAATGCGACTTGCATGACGGCCAATTTATACGCGCTAATCCGCCAGGACATACATCCGTTCACGTCACTCTAAAACGATCGCCTTTTCTGACTAGCTCGTAAGTGAGATTACAATCTTCATGTTCATTAAATTCTCGACCGATGAATCCGATGTCACCGAGCACATGACCGAGGTTCATGTTCCATTTGCAGCAGGTGAATGAAATGTGACCAGACACTACACGCAGGGTCGCATCCAAATCGAATTAAACCCATGGAAAGGACCAAATCGACGCGTACAAACGCAAGATCAATCTCGATTAGGTTCGGTTCTGATGCTTAAAACTTCACTGGCCGGATACAAAACCATCTCAAAACAGCTAAAAAGTTGACTCGGCAGGCTAAATCTGAAGATGTATCGCCAATGCATTAATTTGCAGAGTGCGGCCATAAACGTTTAAGTGTCATCATCCCAACCTCAATGAATGAAGTCAACTGAATGCATCTCTCCCTTGTAGAAGTAAAGAGATGGAAAGTGGTGGCCCTGGTGCAGTTGCAATTGCATCAGCTTGAGGATTCTCTTTCTTATAACCCGTTTCAATAAGCCTAGCATTGGCAAGGACTATTCACGAATTCGCCGACGTTACATTTACGTCGACTAGATATAAAAAGAAATCATGTACTCATAATCGAGGACAACAATGATCTCGATTTTCGAATGTCTCCAAAATAAAAAAAAAGCACATACTTTTATTTGAGGGACAAAAATGTGGCTATCTTTTCCGTTCAATTGATCCTACATGGCAGCTGACGGTGCATTCAGATAATTACTTGGTGTGCATGAGATTAGAGGTGATCGGACCGGTGCCCTTGGGAACCGCCCAGAATCAGCGGGTCCGGTCCAGTCCAGTCCGGGCGGTTGCACACCCCCTCTATGAGATGTTTCGACGGCCCCCTTGTTTGGGGCAAAGGAGAGAGGAGACACGTTTCCACGGATCCATCCTCGGTTCAAAGCCCATGATGGCGATTCTTTGGGCCGATCCAGTTGGGCCTTCCACGTGGGCCTGTTGAGGCCCGTAAAGCCCAAGCTGCACGAGGAGATAGAATAAAAATGGATCTTAGGGTTTCTACAGAAGCCTCTCATTCCTCCTTTCCATCCACCGTCCCTCTCGCTCAAAGCGGCCGACGCGAGGACTACTTCAGGGAGGACTGGTGGGGAACGCTCCGCCACCGTTTCCGTCTGAGCCGAAGAGCAACCAAAATGGTCAGCAACCCTTCTCTTCGGATCTTCTTTCTCGTTTCTGGGTACCCATCGGCTTAATGTTTTCGTTCCCCCCCCACCTCCCCGCGATGTCTGGCCCCTGTCTCTGCGACCTCCTTGAATGGTTTTGGCTGCGGTAGTGCTTAGTAGATTGGAGTTCTTGCATGGCGTGTTGACACCCTTTAATGCGAAAGGTTGGATGCCTTTTTGGGGGGAGGTGGTTTTGCAAGTAGTTGCGATTGCTGGAAGATTTTGCGTGACGGTGGTGGTGATGAGCTCTCGAGCTCGCGGCTCTGTTCGTGGCCGGTGGAGTGTTTAGACAGGATGGGGGCTCTGTAGATGCCTGACGTTTCCGTATGAACGAGAATCAGTGACACCCGTCTCATTCTGGAGTGATTGATGGGCGCTCTGTTTTTCTTTGGTTGGGCTTTGTTAAGTTGGTTTCCTATGGATGTGTTTGTGCTGACAGGTAAACCAAAGATTAGTTGAATGTGAGTTTTGGTTGAAATGATCTGAGCCCTGAAGGCCCAGAAAGTTTGTGAAATATTTTGGGATAGGGGAATTTGTTCAGATGCGAAGTCGGGCACATTATATTTTTTATCTTTTCCCGCTATTAATTCAAGGAAGTTTGTTTTTTTTCCCGTGTTTTTATCATCAATTCTAATGTTCTTTGCACATACAGGCGCGTGGATTGAAGAAGCATTTAAAGAGGCTCAATGCTCCCAAGCATTGGATGCTTGACAAGCTAGGTGGTGCATTTGTAAGTGACCCCATCAAATCCCCTTTTCTCTTTCAGATGAATCGTTGCTTTACCTTTTCGGAGTCTTTCCTTTCTGCATTCTAATGTCATCTCTGGATGTGCAGGCGCCTAAGCCATCCTCTGGACCCCACAAATCCAGGGAATGTTTGCCTTTGATCCTCATTCTGCGTAACAGGCTGAAATATGCTCTTACGTACCGTGAGGTCATAGCCATCCTGATGCAGCGCCATGTTCTCGTTGACAACAAAGTCAGGACAGATAAGACTTACCCTGCTGGTTTCATGGGTATGTCGATGCCTCGCTTTTCCTTTCTGAGACCTCCGTGCTCTTTTCTGGTTTCAACCATTCCACTGGAAGCATTGGATGATATCCGGGGAGCATTTTGTGTACTATGTTTGTCTTTTGGTCTGCAAGATTGTTGTTTCGATTGCTGATATATGTTTTATCGTTTACAGTAAACTGTAGAGTGAATTGTTTCTTTCTGGCAGCTATGTGAGAACATCAGCACCCAAGATATTTGCCAATATTGTATTACTTAATAGGATAATTCATTTGTCATAAGTTGCCAGTCCCATGTTTTTTAGGAGGATATTCTTGGTTGCAGATGACTGTTGTGAATTGCAATTTGTGTCATTCGGTTATTTACTATATATATGTTAACGTTGTCCAATATCTCACTTATCAGATGTGGTCTCAATTCCCAAGACAAATGAGAATTTCCGTCTCCTCTATGACACTAAGGGCCGATTCCGACTCCACAGCATTAGGGACGATGAGGCAAAGGTTGGTTTCCCATCTCTTTCTGTGGGCTATGTTGGTTGCATTAAATCTACTTAATGCCTGGAGATCGTGTTAAATTTTCTTATGTAGTTTCCATTCACTGTTCTTATTTTACGGAATATGTTCATTGCAGTTCAAGCTTTGCAAAGTTCGTTCAGTCCAGTTTGGGCAGAAAGGCATCCCATACCTCAACACCTATGATGGCCGTACTATCCGCTACCCAGACCCTCTGATCAAGGCTAACGATACCATCAAACTTGACCTTGAGTCCAACAAGATCACTGAGTTCATCAAATTCGATGTCGGGAATGTCGTCATGGTTACTGGAGGAAGGAACAGGGGACGTGTTGGAGTTATCAAGAACCGTGAAAAGCATAAGGGAACTTTTGAGACCATTCACATCCAAGATGCGCAGGGCCACGAGTTTGCTACTCGCCTGGGCAATGTGTTCATCATTGGAAAGGGAACAAAGCCTTGGGTCTCCCTTCCTAAGGGAAAAGGTATCAAGCTGTCCATCATTGAGGAGGCACGGAAAAGGCTTGCAGCTCAAGCATCCGCGACCGCGTGAGTTTACTTTTGATGCATGTGTTGGATTAGCAGAGACTAGCTGTTCGTTATTTAGCTACAAGACGATTTTGGGAAGTGGGCATTTTGTTTTTTGTTCCAGTGCAATTCTGACTAATTTTTCTCTTCCGAGTTAGATTTTCCTGTCAAATTTTATGGGCAATTTGAGGTCATAGTATCTGTTACTGTGTGTTTCTTTCCATGCTTGATTTCTGTTCGTGTTTGACGTATCCTGAAGATTAAGGAGTTATTCTCGTGTAGAAGTGGAAAAGGCTTACAGGGATTGTAATTATGGTGCACTGATGATCTCCGTTGAATCTATGCACAATTTTATCTTTTTTGAGCCGTATTCAAATCAGTAAAACAAGGAACTTCCGCTATAGCTTTCGACATTCCTTTGTATAAGTCAAAAAGTAGAGAAGTTCTGTGCAAGAAAAGTAAAACGCAGAGATGCAGAAAAGAGGGTAAGTCGCAGCACAGTCCAGCAGACCAGCCTCGATTCATTTTATTGAGGGTATGGAAAGGGAAGATGACATGTTGGTAAGCAGCCTCCAATGACTTTAAGTTCTACCCACAGACTTTCAATTCACTAAACGAAATAGAACGAGGAAACGGCAGCTTGTTTGGTGAGCAGCTGAACGATCAACAAACACAAGCTCTTGAAAGAGTATCTGAACTATCTACAAACACAAGCTCTTGAAAGCTTTCTCCTGATGATGATTTGTTCAATCTTAGAACAGGAAAAGATTCTAATTGAGCCCCCTGGTTGTGAGATTACGCCGCCTCGCCTTCATGGAGTAGCATCTGATCGAAATGCCAAACACCTGGGAGTCATCAAAATGGCCCGAGTTAGAACTCAATATTAAGACGGCGAGACAGGAATGCATGTAAGGTCCTATTGTGAAGCCTATTGTCTGATTTGTTAAAGGCTTGAACTTGAAGCAGACGGGTGATGGCATTTTTATTCCAATATGGAATACGAAAGAAATTAGATTGTCTTTCGGTTTCGGATTCGTACCATGGCCTTTTCCAACCATTCTCAGCTGCGTGACAAAATCCGCCATCTTCTTGATTGCTTCAACCTAATGGACATGCCAGAACAGATTAGGACTAGTAGATTCTTTGAAATAACAACAATCAAATCTTTGAGAGTGCAGGAGAGTTTGAAATCAGCGAGCAGATGCAATCGTCCTCCTGATAATCAAAAGGTATGTTCGAGAAAGCAAGCAAGATCTCTAGTTAACCTGCTCATACAAGAACTCGCTTTCTATGAAATCGGCGAGCTGCGGGTCATTGTTTTGTTCCGCGACCTGTAAATATACAGGAGAAAATCATCCAATAACACTTTTCATTCACTTGGAAAAGAAAATACAAGAATAGATAGAGTAGGCACAGGAAGTTTTTAAGAGTATTATTATTACCCCGTGCAGGCTCAGGAGCTTCTGATTTGTTAACTTCTCCAGAGATAACGCTAGTTCCATTGCTGAATCAGTGAATCACGTCAGAAGAAGATGTGAAAGAACCGATTCAATGACATCGATTTCGCAAGAAAGAAACTGCACTTGATTGACAACTTCAAAGCAACAAAGGAAGTCGGAGAAATTAGCAAAAAGCTTACAGTAAAGGGCATCCCCTTTCTCGGCATGATCGAACTCCGAAGGCGGCATCAAGATGGAGTGCAGTTTTACTTTCCCCCCACGTTTGTTCTATGTATTAACAGAAACAAAAGCATATAGAATCATCGGCAATTATCGCGCCTACAGCTACATGAATCAAGACCAAAATGAAGCCAATTCCATTTTCTTTCTATCTAACCTGATACTCCATCAACTTCTCAGCGTGCTCTCTTTCCTCTTCACTCGACTCCTTATAAAATCTTCGATAATCCAAAGACATTGAAACGAGATTTAGTATCAAAACAATCAGAACGGCATTGAAATGAATCTTTTCGATTGGCTTACTTGGCAAGGCCCTTGAGAGCAATGTTGTCCCGGTCAAAATATGCGTACATGGCGTGGTAAACGTATGACACAGCGTATTCCACACTAGTCACAAGACCAAGAACAAAAACATAATGATTCAAACGACGAAAATGGTCGTGTTATGCTTAATCCATTCTTTTGAAAAGCTTAAGCTATCCGAAAAGATGAGCCTCCAAATGGATCTATAGGATATATATTGACATCCACAACTACATCACACAGACAATCAGTGGCATAATAGCACACGGAGTGAAAGACGGAACAAAAATAAGGAGCACCAACGTTAAAACTAAGGAAAAAATTGTCCAAAAAGTCCTAAACCTATTACATTTTTATCAATTCAGTCCTAAACCTTTTAAGTTTGCCAATTGAGTCCTAAAGCTTTTCACTTCTTGTCAATTGAGTCTTTCCGGCCAATTTTGGCTGTCCGGAGTTAACATGGACGCCAGTCAATGCTAACGTGGCAAATTTTTCTGAATTTTTTTTCCTTTTCTTTTTTTTTTTCTGGCCTTCTTCCATCTGGCCGGTCCGACGGCCGATGAGGTCGAATCGGCCAGAGGCAAGCGCCGGCGAGGTCGACCTCACCGACCTCTGGTGAAGCGTGCCCCCGCCGGCCCTTGGTTAGGCAAGGTCAAACCTCGCCCGACCTCGCCGTCTCGACCTAGGCGACGGCGAGGTCGGCCTCGCCAGATCTGAGCAAGGTCGAGCCTCGCCCAGCCAAGGCGAGGCCGACCTTGCCGTCGCATGGGTTGTGACGGCGAGGTCGGCCTCGTCTTTGTTGGGCGAGGTTCGACCTCACCCAGCTACTGGCCGGCGAGGTCGACCTCGCCGGCCCTCAACTCTGACCGGTCGCCGGACAAGCCAGAGGGAAGAAGGCCAGAAAAAAAAAATAAAAAAAAATATTAAAAAGTTCGAAAAGAATATTTAAAAAATATTAAAATTTGCCATGTGAGTGGTATTCAGCTGGCGTCCACGCCAGCTTCAGGCAATCAAAATTGATCGAATGGACTCAATTGACAAGAAGTGAAAAGATTTAAGACTCAATTGATAAATTTGATAAGTTTAGGACTGAATTGATAAAAGTGATATAGATTTATGATTTTTTGAACAATTTTCCCTAAAAACTAAGTGATATATACGCTCTGATATCGGGTTACACAAACCATTCTTCCAAACATGCATGTATGAATATGTTTCTTAGCTCAGAGTTTGTCACAAGCAAAGGAAGGAAGAGGAAATCCATTAATATGCCCTTCTTACTTGATCTGCTCGTTGATCGCGGCTTCGCAGTCCTCGGAATAGTATTGACGAGCGAGGGAGAGCTGAGGCGAGATTGGGACCGCAAGATCGTCTCTCTTGACCTCTTGGAAAGGCTGGAAGACGACGCCCGTGAGCGCCGGGCCATCGGCTTCGGCAGAGGCCCGCACCCTTGCCGCACGGACGTTCTTCGGTCTCGAACTAGACAGCGGGGATCTCAAAGAAGGTGCAAACGAGCTCGCCATGGACACGGGCCAATGCTTATCGCGTGGCGATCGAGAGAAAGCGGAAACAAGGCTCAACGACATCATCTCCGGTCTCTAGAGAGAGGGAAGGGATACACCGAACCAGATCGAGAAAGAATTGGAGATCGGAATCGAGAAGGCGCGACTGCAGTTGCACAACGCGACTTTGCCTTTGACAATTTTTATAGGCCAGATGGAAAGAAGCACGGGGAGGCCGAAGAGTTCCAGATGGGTGGGGGATCGTGGGAGGCCGTCGGATCAGATCCACGTGGCGAGGACCGGTGGATGAAGTGGGGTGGGGCGTGTGGCCGCCTCACGACGACCCAGTGAGAAACCAGGATCTGGATAAGATATCCGATACACGTAGCCATCCCCCTTCTGTACCATCGCTGGCAGCAACCACAAGGTTTTGTCCTTTCTTGGGTAAACAATTCAGCTCACGCGCCACAGCGGGAAACTGGAAACCGGACCCGTGAGAACCGGTCCTGTTCCAAAGTGTACGGAATAAGTTTTAAGCTCCAAAAATTTAATAACAGATTTCAAGTGAAATCTGGATCAATTCTAAAATCGCTCATCCCTATGAATAATACTCACTCCGCACATTGCAATCTGTCACTTTCATTGGCATGTCGATAGGGCTATAGTGATTAGCTCATCGATCCCGGACATTTCAATTTCGAGTAGATAGAGTTGTTACCGCTCAGATAAAACAATCCGTTACAAGTGTGGGATAATTATGGTAACATCTTCCTCATTTTTCACTTGTAACAAGAAGGTATGATCGAGTTTTGTCGAGTTGAGTCAAGATAGTCTACTACTCAGGCACGATTTGAGTCAACTGTTCGAATTTGTCAATACTAAATTAACAAAATGTGAATTTCGATCTAAGCTCATATTTAGCCGGAACTCGAATTCTAAAGCGATCTTAGACCGAAACCAAAGCATAACATTGTGAATGTGTTTCTAATCAATAACTTGATTAAGCTCAAACCTCCTTGACTGGAGTAATCTTTTGTTTAGGTCGAATCTATTGAATGTTTAAAATCAAAGTAGCTTCACCCGTAGACCTGGTCATTTTCACTTTAATAAGCGAAAACTCGCTTTATTGATTTTCCCACCCATTTAAAAAGTTATGAAAATATTAAAAAACAAATCCTTCTATCATTAACTTTTTTGTTCGAAGAGTCTCAAGTATTTCTCGTTAAATAAAAATCCAATTGCGTTAATCTCGAGTGTTAAAAAATATTTAGAAGCAATAGTGTATTAAAGGAAAAAGGGGGAAAAAAAAAAAAAAAGAAGGAAAAAAAAAAAAAAAAAAAAAAAAAAAAAAAAAAAAAAAAAAAAAAAAAAAAAAAAAAAAATTAAAAAAAAAGGGGGGGGAAAAGAAGGGAAAAAAAAAAAAAAAAAAAAAAAAAAAAAAAGTAAGATTCATTAATTCCAAGACTTCCATATCACGCGAGATACAAATGATATTTATCCACGTAATGCGAGTAAGCTTTGAAAATTCGGAAAGGAGTGCTTATCTTCTCATCACACGGCTTGACTAGTTTCATATAGAGACAACAACAGCTTCGTGGAAAATGGCATAGTTGCGGGAAAACACGTGCCCATAACAATCAAGGCTTAATATCTAGAAGCCAAGAAGAGTACAAAACATCAATTTATATGGAAAAATGATATAAATGATTCATGAACTTTGACTCAATGTGTTTTATTTGTTTGATATGGTCCTAACTATTGATAAGTGTTTTAATGTAGTCATTTTGTTTGCTCAAACGACGAATCAGACGTAATTCGATGACGTGAATTATTGTATTCGCAGTTGGATTATTAAAAATAGTGAGGCAACATGTTCATCTTTTTATTATTTACTTTAAAAAAGGAAAAAAAAAAAGTAGGGCGTTGCCATCTCCGGCTTTATTTGATTACGGAGATTATTATATTCCGATTTGAGATGAATATTTTACTAGGGTAATCCATGTGTAACATTTTTTTTTAGCATTGTTCAAACTTAACAAATTGGAATCCACGTCAGCAGATTCCGTTAACTTGAATTAGCAGAAAAATGACATTGAATATTCTCATATAGTCTAGTTACTAAATTGAACATTTACTAACAGTTCAAGAGTTACATTGAATAAACTAAGAGTCTACTAATGATATTTTGGACTAAAGTTAAAAGACTATTTGTGTTATTTTCCTTTCATATATCAACTCATCAACTTGAATTGGCTGAGGACTAACCTCTATATAAACTCGTCAAATGAACAGGTCGAGTCAGATCGAAAATAGTCATACCCAAATTGATCCATTTTTTTACAATACAATTGAGCGACCCATAGCCGACTGTCCCATACTAGACCCAAGCTGATTTCATTTTTAGCAATTTTTCTCTGTAAATTGTTACCTTTGAAAATTGAGTGACTTCATTAACCAGCTTGTCGAGTTAGTAAGAGAGCTCGGGTGTTTTGGTCGGGTTATGGGCTAGAACTTCACGCGGCACGTGAGCAATGTGGAGACTGTAGCAACCCTCTCAAGATTAATCAGATATGTTAACTGGAGGAGAGTGAATGATTACCATGTAAGCGCGGACGATTCCTCTTTTAATTCATTCTTAACTCGGGTTCTTTCAAATCTTACCGATCACAATTTGGTTTTGACTCTGTGAAAATTTTGTTTCTTACTTTAAGTAGTCACCATTAAACTATTGGAGGCCAAGTAAAACACGGAAGATCCCCTAAAGTTAAATACTTGAAAATATTCTGAACGAGACACCTTACACTTTCTTAGAGTGTAACGTTTCGATCGCCTTACCAACACCACTGATCCCCTAAAGTTAAATACTTGGAAATTGCTACTTGTTTTACTAGCACTGAATGTTCAAAATGCAGACGTGCATTTTAAACAACCACATCTTCTTCTACTTAACTAGGGGCATATTGTAAATATCTTGTCCACAAGTGGGGCACATATATGCCCCTCGCGGTCTTCTTCCTTTGTTTTCGGTCAAAACCATCCCCTGGCCCATTTAGTTTCGATCCTTCTTCTACCGAAAGGGGTGGGTTCGAAAATGGATCTGCCTCTGACTCACTTTAACCCAAATTTAGGTAATTAAAGGTTCAGAAAACCTATATACCACCTGATGAATTGAAAAATGAGTTAAAAAGTGCGTCTACAACCCATGCATTGCCACCTTTACCTGTGCATCAGCATTCGATACGAGTAACAATCGCTCTATAGCTATCAGTTCGGGGACTTCCGTTTCAACCAATCGATATAGACATATATAACCTATTCATCTTTGCACATTGATTTCAACCAAAAAAAAGAAAAAAAGAAAAATCTTTGCACATTGATAAAAGGCTCCGTTCTCGATGTTACCCTAAGTAAGAGATACAATCTGACAAAATGAGAATTGAACGAGGATGGCAATGAGGTCAGAAGGAGCAATTGTTTTCTCTCAATCTAAACTTGCTATTTTCAGTCCATGGTAAACGTTTTTCATGGATCGATGAATTTTTCGTCATCCAGGCGCCGAAAAATCCAAAAATAATTTCCCTGAAAACAGTTTCCTCCAAACAAATGACCCCTAAAAGTGAGCAATATGATTATTGTATCATGCCAATCGAAGATATGGTTAGAGAAAAACACGGTCCTCATGGATTTTTTGTTCTCTCGTCCTCCATAGATTGATGCACAAGCCGAGGGACCAGTTGGGTAGGAACTTCAAATGTGGAGCGGAATGAAACAAATTCGAGAGCTAGGAGCCAAAGGCTTCGACGGAAAAACTAAATTTGGGCCAAGCCCGATAGACAATATAAAAACTAGGGAGACTTCGAAAGCTTAAATTTCTTAATTTCTTTAATTCGGTCTCTTTTCTCTCTCTTTTTTTTGCCTATTTTGGCTTAAATCGAAGGAGGTGAGCTCCAAAAGCAAAGAATCTTAAAGGCTTGTGCAAAGGAACGAAGCGTGATTTGACTTCTATTGGTGCGAGGGGACCCCAAGAGTGCTTCACGTCAAGCCAATCCCTCTCATCTTTGTCAAGTTGTGGGGATTGTAACTATTCATCTCCTGCTCTGCCTCGACAGACCGACGTGGGAGTTTTCAATTGGGTCCTTGATTACCCAAATTTCCTGATTAATACTACTTATTTTCTATAAATTGCTAAATTTATGATTAATTATGGTTTCATCTCTAAACACATGAATATCAATGCCATATAAAGCTCATAATTTATGGCGTAACGATGTCGATATCGATGCCGATGCCACTCATCTGAGTCGGTTGATTAATATGGTGCGGTTTTACGCAAGGGCACTTTTTAACGATTGTGATGGTAAAATGGTTTGTTGTCTCACAACCAAGCAAATAAAGCTTGTGGACACCACACGATGCCGCAGAAACGTGTCTCTCCGTCTAAGCTCTTATCTCTTGTTCTTTTTCGCGAGGAATGTGACGATTCTGAGAGCGATGGATGCTTTGTTTGGCATGTAATACTTATCGCTGCGATAAGTCTTGTGGATAGCACACGGCGTGCTTTGTGGAGATGAATCTCTGTCTTGTCAAGCTCAAGAGAATTCAAAGGCGCCCGGAATTGATCTTTTAGAAGTTCTGAATTTGAATGTAACAAAATCCAAAATCTGAGGAGTAACAACTAGTAGCATATGCTCTCATGAGAACGCATAGTTTAGTTTTTTGTTGGGAGACGCAAAGGAAACCAGAAACCTTCACTTAGGGAGATCGTTAAGGAAAAATTCAAATTCGAGTTCGTCAATATACGAAGTTAAACTCAATTTCACTGAAAAATCTAAATTAATGGTTACGAGCCAATAAAGATACATATATTCATTGCTTTACTTTACGTCACATCTCCAGTGTAGGGTTTCTTTTGCATAACACCCTCACGCGTGTATCTTAATAAATCTCCTCCTCAAGTATGAGCCTTCTGTCCATGCATCCTTCCGCAACAATTTCAACTTAAATCTCTATCAACTAGACACAACAATCGTCTTGACTCCTCTTTAATTGCCTTGACTCGACCAAAGCTCGTAGGAATGCACACTATTTGCCACCTCGATCGGGAGTCACATTCAAGATTCTGTACTTTGAGATATTCATCAAACCCCAATTCACACATGTTGGGCCAAGCCCATCCAAACCAACGGTTCAGATTTCACTTATTGGAGACAGAATGGAAGTCTGATACCTTTAACTAGGGAGATCCTATGTGAAAGGAAAAAATTGTCCAAAAAATCTTAAATCTATTACACTTTTATCAATTTAGTCTTAAATCTTTCAAGTTTGCCAATTGAGTCCATTCGGCCAATTTTGGCCGCCCCGAGTTGACGTGGACGCTAGCCGGTGCCGGTCGTCTGGCCAACGCTAACATGGTAATTTGAAAAAAAAATCAATATTTTTCTTTTTTTTTTTGGTCTTCTTTCCTCTTGCCAGTCGTCAGACTGATCAGAGGCAGAGGCCGGCGAGGACCTCGCCGGCCTCAGGCGAAGCTCTCCCCCGCCGACCACTGGCTGGGCGAGGTTGAACCTCGCTTAGCAAAGCTGAGGCCGACCTCGCCGTCGCGACCCAAGCGACGGCGAGGTCGGCCTCGGCAAATTTGGGCGAGGTTGAGCCTTGCCCAGCCAAGACGAGGCCGACCTCGCCGTTGTGACCCAGGCAAGGGAGACCCAGGTGACAGCGAGGTCGGCCTCGTCTTGGCTAGGCGGGGTCGAACCTCACCCAGCCAGGGGCTGGCGAGGCTCACCATCGCCAGAGGCCGGCGAGGAAGGAAAGAAGGCCAGAAAAAAAAAAGGAAAAAAAATGAAAAAATATATTTTTTAAAATTGCCACGTCAGCGTTGGCCAGACGGCTGGCACTGGCCGACGTCCACATTAGCTCCGGGCGTCCAAAATTGACCGGATTGACTCAATTGACAAGAAATGAAAAGATTTAAAACTCAATTGGCAAACTTAAAAGGTTTAGGACTGAATTGGCAAAAGTACAATAGATTTAGGATTTTTTGGACAGTTTTTCCTATATGAAAGCCCAAGTTCGAGCTCATCAATATATTCAATTGGACTCACCCTCACTTAAAAGCTTAAATTAATGGATTATTAGTCAATTAAGATATATTAACTACTGTACTTACATCAAAGACTTGTTCACAAAAATCCCTCAACATGCATCTCAACAGTTTTAAAATATATCATTCATGGCTATCCTATCCATTTAAGTCAACAGCCCAAGCGCCAATTGCCTTTCTGTAGGTTCTTTTCTATGTTGGTGTTGAAATAAGTCTTAAGTTTGAGCTCGATAAATGAAATCAATGTAAGTAGATTTCTTAATTTAAGTAGGTTTTCTTATCTGAATAAGTTTTCTATCGTGGAATTAAATATTTTCTATATAGGGGTGAGCGGTTCCCAGGTGGGTAGATTCCAAGTTCCATCCCCGGAACCTACCGTATCGGGATCAACTCTCAGTTTTTGGACCATGGATCTAACCATGTCGGTCCGGTCCGGTCCGGTTCCAAGGTTTACTAAAAAACCGGCCAATTCCATCTTTTTTTTTAGTTTCATTTTTTTTTATTTCTTTAAAAGACAAATTTTAGTAAAACATTACCTTATTTACAACCAAGATAAATAGTAGTTACAACAAAATAGTAAAGCAACAAAACAATGAGAAGTACAGTAGGAAACAAATAGAAGACTAATGTGAGACTGATAAATGCCATATCGAACATGTACGAGAAGCCCTGTAAAATTAATAATGACTACTTGATGCAATGTTTGTTTCACTTAAAGATGAGCAAAGCTGTGTAGATTGCTGAACATATCAATAAATTTGATGTTACCGTTAGTCATTTGAGTTTGGTGAAGATTGACTCTGATGATGGGTGCATACTTTGATTTTATTATTCTTATTGCCTGATAGTTGAAGCACTGTTGTTACTACTTTAAGTAATTCCTCTACGTCGACAAGCTTGACGGTTGATGAGGTTCGCAATTTGATTTTCAGCGAGCACATCCGTTGAAGAGAATTTAATGAATCAGTGCCAACTGCTTTAACAGGTGAAAGTAGAGGAGAACTAGTACCCGTATTGGTAAGAGTAGTGCGAACCCAAACAAATGTAGTCAACCTAAGTGTGGTCTTGATTTTGAAAAGTTAGATCATTTAACTTTAGTTAATTATGTGAACCTAGGTATTTGAGAAGATTTTAGGATTTTAGGGCACTTAAAACCAGCGATATGAGTTTGCAGGACATGCTAATGTGCCCAGAAAAACATCTCTCTCTATACACTATATAGGAAAATATAGTGCAGTCTCTTTCCCTCCTATCCCCACATCCCAAAAAATTCACATTATTGAGCATGGAGACAAAACCCACTCTTATTCCACCCCGAAAGCGATCTCCACACGCCAATAATTTCCTTCCCTTTTTAAACCTCCAAACCAGACACCTCCCACCACCACCACCACCTCCACCGCTCCATGGCCGCCCCCGACGTCTCTCCCCAATACCGACCTGTACCCAAATCCCCGGACTTCATCCCCGAGCTAACCGTCTCCGCCGACCGCCATGATGGACTCTTGTTCTGGCAATATATGGTGGCCGGCTCCATTGCCGGTTCCGTCGAGCATATGGCCATGTTCCCCGTGGACACCCTCAAGACACGCATGCAGGCACTAGCCGGGTCGTGCCGGACCCAACCCGGAATCCGCCAGGCCTTCACCTCCATCCTGAAGCTCGAAGGCCCCGCCGGGCTCTACCGGGGCATCGGCGCGATGGGTCTTGGAGCCGGGCCAGCTCACGCAGTCTACTTCTCTGTCTACGAGCTCTTCAAGGAGTCCTTCTCCTCCGGTGGCCCAAACAACCCTGTGGCCCACGCCGCGTCCGGTGTATGCGCGACTGTGGCGAGCGATGCGGTGATCACGCCAATGGACATGGTGAAGCAGCGGCTGCAGCTGGAGAGGAGCCCGTACCGGGGGGTGGGCGACTGCGTGAGGCGCGTCCTGGTGGAGGAAGGGATTGGGGCGTTCTATGCTTCATACCGGACGACTGTCGTGATGAACGCGCCCTTCACGGCGGTGCACTTCGCAACGTACGAGGCTGCAAAGCGGGGTCTGATGGAGGCATTCTCGGTGGAAGAGGTGAGCGACGAGAGCCTGGTGGTGCATGCGACAGCTGGGGCGGCAGCGGGGGCGTTGGCGGCTGCAGTCACGACTCCACTCGACGTGGTGAAGACACAGCTGCAATGCCAGGTAACGACAGGTGACTCAACCCAAGGAACAGTGTCTAACGGTATTGTTACCAAAGGTCTGTTTTTATGGTGTTAAATATAAGCTCTTGTTTAGAGTCAGTGTGCTAATTGCTTAAACCTCCACTCAGAGCATGATGTTATAGAGGAAGCAGGATTAAACTCACATGTATGAATGAAAACATGATATAGAAATTAAGAGTGGTCATGCTTGGTTCTCCTGATTCCTGAAGTATATGAATGGTAATCTTTTGGTCATGCCAAACAGAGGAATTGTCAACAGAGTCATAGTATAACGAAGTCACAAGTGACAGGTATCTACTGAAATGTGGACATTAGCAAAATGCTGTCTCTAGACAAAGCCTGAAGATCTTTTAGTTGATCTTGACTTGATGCAGTGGTCAGAAGCACGTTTAGTTGTATAGCAGACTATGTTATCTATTGATTTCGGTCCCAAACCATTGGTATGCTTCTTCAAAATTTTTGGTCAGGGGAGAGTATATAGTGACTCATCCGTTGAGTATTCTCTATTGAAGTACATAATCACTTTCGCTGTATTGTTACTTGTCCCTATCTGTTTGATAGTTCATTCATTGAATTTCCTCAGCTGTCTGTGCATCCTTGGTTCATATCATTTCCAACCAATGTTCTCCGTTCTCTGGTTTGTTTTTATGTAGCTCCTATTACAGCTTCAGCGATATCGGTAGGTTTAGGACAATACAACGTTCGTGGACATATCTTCGGAATGAAAACTATTGTTCTTCACCATAAATGTGCAGGGAGTCTGCGGTTGCGATCGATTCTCGAGCAGTTCCATCGGTGACGTCATTCAAGCTGTGGTGAACAAAGACGGGTATCGTGGTCTCATCAGAGGATGGATTCCGAGGATGCTCTTCCACGCGCCGGCCGCTGCAATTTGTTGGTCGACCTACGAGACCTCGAAATCCGTCTTCCAACGACTCAACGACAGTAAAAGCCGAGGTTACTGATGCATGCAAAAGACCGGGAACCAAGGGAATCAAACCAATACGTGTAGCTGTATTTTGGATTTCGGAGTGAGAGCTGTATCAGCAACTTCAAGGCTGGACTGTTCTAAACCTAAAGACGAAGACCACGCTGTATCGGATAATACTGCGATTAGCGAACGAGCGGTCGAATCGGCATTTGACCTCTCTCTAGTGCAAGTTCAACGATGATGACGAAGAACTGTTGTTGTGCTATCATGGAACAATTGGAAACGAAATACTCTATCTTCACTTCACATACTAATTACAATGCAATTGTCCTGAACTGTGATTTAATTATATAGCGATGGAATTAGAAACCCGAAAGCTTGATCTTATGTTTATCTTCTTTTTCCCTTTCTTTTGGCCAAGGCATGATTCTGTGTTCACGCCGCTCTCTGTCATTTCTCGTTCTCTCTTTGATTAACGTCAAGAGCTTTAGATATTATTGGTCTCGAGTGGAGTGGATGGTCGCTCTCTATGCTTTGTCTACCTTGTGGCGTTAACGTAGAGAATCGTTCTAGGTGGTCTGTATTCTAGTCCAAAAATGTCTCCCTCTTCCTCAATTTATCGACAGCCTTTAGATGCTTCGACCGTGGGAAAATTTTTAGGTGCTGTCAGAGTGAATTCTTCTTGATATTCCAGGTATTGTTATCAATATCGCTCTATTCTCGATTCCTGTCTTACGATTCAATTCGTTAAGTTCTAATCGATACATACATGGTTAGCGGACTTGTGTAATACTTAGTCGTAAGCAAATCTCTTGACCCACAATTGAACCTAAGTCCCTCGATCAACGACTGAATCTATCGATTCAATACGTTATTCAAATGATTTTTCAGGACCAAGTCCCTCGATCAACGACTGAATCTATCGATTAAATACGTTATTCAAATGATTTGCTTCTGGGACCAAAGGAAATCATTTGAATAATATCAACTACATTACTTGAATCAGTTATAATTAACATATGCTAAAAAAATTTTAAATGTGTTTCACTTACTTTGATAAAGAGTTTGGGATAGATCTATTGTTTGAATTCATTTAACAGATGGAGCAAATTTATAAATTGAAAAAAAATGGTCATGCTAAATTGATTGAGAGATGGGCCCATTTATGGAATGGATATATTTCTTCTCTTTCCTGGACAGTCTCAAATCAGTAATGTAGCGAGCGAAGTTTTTATGACTTGATTTCTGAACAGAGCACAAGTTCCACATTATTCAGTAAATGTCACAGAAATCGTCACAAAATGCATGATGTTGCTTTCCAAGATGAGAAAGCACATACTTGAATCGCAGGTTCAATCCCCAGTTTGATGTGCAAGTCTAACATTCTTTCTAGCTTTTGATTCCTCAATAACCTGGCTGGCAGATGATTCTGCTCAGGGTTGCAAATTCATGCACATTACCTGAGTCATATTGAATCCTGACAAGAATAGATTTTGAGATTTGGGCAACACCAACACCATGATAGAAACATTTAGAGCGGACGAAGATTACATACACTTGAAAGTTTTTGCACTAGTAGTTAACCATGCCACATCGGTTCGAAGAATGTAAACACAGAAGCTCCGTCAGAACAATAGCAAGTAAACAAATACAAGCTTCCAGTGTTTTAGAGCTTATCTACACCCACTCCATCTCTGAGAGCCTCATAAGCATCTCTGCTCCGGGTTTTCTTCATCCCAGCAGTGAAATGAAGCTTTGATCCTTCAGCTGATATCGCCGTCACCTTCACCCATATCATGACCTTTGTTTTCATCCCTTCTATTTCTGCTAGTTTCCCTTTCTCAAGATATCCGGTAACTGTGGTGAAAAAGCGTAAAACCGAAGAGTCCTTGTAGCCCACTTCGCAGATTGAGGGTATGAAGACAGTGAGCTTTCCTGTCTCTTCATTGAACTCATAGTTTGTTGCGTCACGAGGAAAGATCCCAACAGGCAGGCCATATTCCTTTAGGAGTTCTGGAAGTGGTGTTTGCATCTTCCCTGCAGAAAAAGGGCATCAATGGTAAGTCAATTATTCGCTATTAAGGACAAGGTCCACAACATTACAACGGCTGAAACCTCCCACTCATGTTGCTGATCAGCTATGTAATTCAAGACAATTATAGAAGAATGGAAGAAAGACAAAGGAAATGCTTAAAACAACTCCAGTGGTAGTAAATGTTTCTCAAAAACCAGGAACTGCTCATACTGATGATACTCAATGGAATTATGATAATCGTCATCTCAACTGTGTCATGCACCCAGATCATACCAAGAAGTTCCGTGCAATTTACCTAACCACACCGACAAGCACCAGGATGTATTTAGCGTAGCATAGTTGATGAAAACTTCATGCATTAAAGAACGCCCACGGTTCTGAGAAGTCACAAGTTTATGTCTCATAGCTACATCTTTCACAGAAAAACAGGAACAAGTTCTACTGACATCCACAATCCTTGATTTCTCTATATAAATTCTAGCTAAGGAACAGAGAACACTAAGTGAACCATAAGTTTTTCTTTTGACCAAGGTAGACTATAACAGCACATTTTCGATTTAAAAAATCTGGGCAAGTTATAGCACCAACTTGACAACCAAATGATAAGTTGCAGAGTAACTTAAAACTCTTGCATCCATCCTCTAGAGATTACTACTGTACATGCTAGATGGAAATTCCAAAGATACAAGAAAACTTAAGCCATAGGGATAGCAGCAAGCAAATAGTGAACAACCAAAGCACGCGGCAAATAAGTTGCAGATCGCAGTTTAAGCAAACCTTTGATTTTGTTAACCAACCATTTTGCTCCTCCTTCAATGCTGCTGGACAATGACTATCAGTGAATATATAGTTATGTCAGTATACCAGAAACATTATTTAATAAAAGAAGCCAAAGGGTAAAGTATAAATAGAGTCCATGACATGCCTCATTTGTACATTTGAAATGATGATTTATTAGAAGAGAACAGGTGTCCTTAATAGATGTTCCTTGAGAAGGAAGTTGCAAGGGATCCATTTAGCCATTGAGTAGGTTTCAAATTAATATACAATTAAACCTTGAGATTTGTAGATCAAGTCTTCTGGCGATGTAATATTGAACTAAATCTCAACTTCTGAGAAAGTTTACCATGAAAAAGAGGAAAATCTAAAGCCGTTGTAGATCTAGTGCATCTTACTATTGAGCTGGCCCGGAAATACCAGAAATATAAGCCACATAATTCAATTTTTTTCATGCTAATCAAAAGCCATGTCCTTAATATCCTTCAAAGGATTTGGATACCTTGAATTTGGCAAATATAGTTTCAAACGCCAGACTATGAAACTACAGTGTGTAATCAAATCAAGCTGCAGGTAAAACCAAGTCATCATAATAATCCGAAGCTATTAGCCTTGCGCATTGCGAAGAGAATTCAACATTCAGAATGATCAATCAACATCTACCCCTTTGACAACATACCCATCTGTATATAATATGCGCACCAGAAAAATATTGAAAAGCGCCACCGCATCTGATAGTAGAAAAAGAATTTGCCAGTACGATAGGAAGGGACTGCTTGGATATGACACACAGATTAATCAACATAATAGCACTCTTATGGTTCTCACATCTGGTCTTGCTTTAGATAAATGACAGCTGTTTTTCCAGTTTCCATATCACAACCAAAAGTGATCAACGGACTCTATATCCTAACCGACCCTGATGGAGACGGCACGCCGAAATTCGCTAATATCAAGAGGACACATCACATATAGAAGTTATGTATTATATGATCACAACTTTCCCCTTATTGGCACACTCGCACTTATGGAATGACGACCACGCCTCAACAGGTTTTGAGATGACGCCAGCGCAGCTAAAAACAACGCAATGCATTCAAACAACTATGGTTTTTATACATATCGAGATCAAAATTGGCGCTTCGACCATCATAAAAGAGACAGAAAAAGCCTAACCCAGCGCACTAATCACCCTGAACATGGAATGTGATATCGCCCATCGCCTTGGAATTTAATGGACAATACCAATTCACAGGTTAAACAAGAACAACGCCATCCAATCACCAATACTAGATTGACAGAAATAAAGTGGGAAAAGAAAACCCAATTCTCGAAAATGCAGAAACATGACTGACCACCCTCTTCTAAGCATCGTTTCTCCCAATCCACACCAAATTGTCATCGCAGCTGCATCTCAAACGTTACGACCACCCAATTCAAAACCCACATCGCATCCCCCCGCGCGATCAATTCAAGAACCCATCTCCCAGCATCGCATCGACCCATGACCGAACCAACACCAAATCTCGCCGCAAAAGGTAAAATTTAACACGAAATCGACCCAACGAGTCACATTTGCGAAACCGGAATCACACATTAATTAACATCACGTGGAGATGGAGGGGTGTGGGGGTGAGAGAGAGAGAGAGAGAGAGAGGGAGACGTACATTGATGTCATCGCCGACGGAGCTGATCTCCTTGTTGGCCTTCTTGCTGAACCAGTACGTTCCCACCTTGTTCAACACCTGATCCATCTTCACCGAATTAAAGACGGCGTTTTTCGTTTTTGTTTAATCTGAATCGTTCTTCTCTCCCTCGGATCCGTCTCTTCTCCTGCCTTCGTTAAGCACAGGACCTGCAAGAGAGAAAGAGAGAGAGAGAGAGCGAGAGAGAGCGGGGGACAGACAGATAGGATATGAATTTTCTATTTTCTCCCCCACAAATTCTGACCTCCTGTTTTGTTTTGTTTTTATTTGTTGTCTCTTTCTTTTTCTTTTTTTTTTAACATGAGAAAGGGTAAAGCCGAATACAAAAATTAAACCTCGTAAATTTACTATTATTATTTTATCGCATAGTAAATATTTGTTGCCTTTCAAATGGGAGCATAGAAATGTTTTCGGCACATCGCAATCAATCAGCCACTGCTATACAATTCTGATTAATTCCATTTATCAAATAATCGCCACTTCAGAATTGGTGGCAAGTTGTTTCTAAGGCAATTAATAAGAAATTATCTCGGTGACCCACGTTATTTTTAATGGTTCAAACTCATATTGGAACTTACATCGTGCTGAATAATTGTTCGACAATTTGTTAGGATTAAATTAGCACAATTGAAAAGTTTAAGACTGAATTGACCGTTGTACGATAGATTTAGAACTTTTTGGATATTTTTTCTCGTCAAAATCATGTGGAAATGCTTATTGAGCGTGGATTTCGTGGTATGTGTATGAGAGATTATTAAATATATGAGAGAGATGCTTAACAAAATGCTTGCTTTATTCACTATTTATATTTTAATTTAGTCAAATTGTGGAAAGAGCACCACCCAATTTGATGGGACATAACTACTGGGGTTTGCTCCAGTGGCCACCCTTCCTACTTGGAAAGGAGGAAGTGGGAAGTTCGAATCTCTACCTTTTCGGGGACTAGGGGTGGGGACGTGTAGTTTCAGATGTAGGTTTTGATTCCCACGCCCTGCAAGAGGCAGGACAAAAGTCTGAGAATGAGTTGAGAGTTAGAGTACGACAAACAAAAAAAAAATCGATGGGGCATAAATAACTGGTGGTAATTGTATTCAACAACAAGGACTATGTTATTTTGATTCTTATTTTGACTAAAACACTCATTTTTTAGTATCGAAATGCCTTTATCTCTTTCTCTCTCTTCAAAGTATTATTTCCTTTTTTGTCGGATTAACCAACAAAATTAAATTTATTTCTCTCATCGGTTTCACAATTAAATCCTATTATCACTTTGCTTCGAGAACGTTGTTAATTTTAACTTATAATACCAGATTTTAATCGATACTACGTAGAAAATTAGAATTTCTATTTATGATGGCTTATGAACACAAAATTAATTGCCTTTTTTCATTAGATAGTTGAGCGAAACTACATTTCAAAATTGATAATTCAATTTCAATATAATTATCTAGTCGATCTACATCAAAAATGGAAAAAAATTGATCATAATATGGAGGTTAATTTGTTAGAAGCATGATCAAACGTTAAGCACTTGTATACTAAGACCATATCGAAACAAAAGATAAGGCAAAAAGGAGAAAAAAAGAGACTTTTTGATGTTCTACTTCTACCACGGAGAAAGTAATTAACATCTATTATAAATTGAATGTCATCGAAAGTGGATCAAAAATTCAAAAATATGCTTAAAATTTTCCTTCGAAATAATCTAATGTGAGTTTGAAAGTGCAAAAGGTGTAACTAGATTTTCAACCTCCATATTCCAATTCAGATTAAATTATGAAAAGTTCAAGACAAAGCACGAAATAAGCGATATTTAACTTTAGATACCTACAAATTTATTCCGGAAAAACACACACGTGGTCAAGATTAGCTAGATAATTAGATTGAAATTTACATTTCAAATTTGAAATATAGATTCGCTCAAATTATTTAATAAAAAATAAGCAATTTATTATGTATTCATAAACCGTCATAAATAGGAATTTATGATCTTCTATATAGTTTTTACAATTAAAATATGAGACCATAAATTAAAATTAATAACCTTCTTCAGGCAAAGTGATAAAAGATGCGGAATGAGATGATATTTTGTTGGGCGTAATGGGGTATTTATATTGTGAAACTGACGAGAGAAATGATAGAAATAAAATCAACCTGATAAAAAAGGAAATGATACACCGAAGAGAGAAGAAGGGTATTTTGGTAAGTCAACCAAAAAATGGGACTGTCTTAACCAAATTGATGATAGAAATAGTGTTGTCTGACAACAATTATGAAAAATTCATTTTTCTAATACTCTCGTGATAGTTAACAAATTTGAGTAGAGTCCTTTTTTGTTATAATTACACTGGTTATTTGAGCCATTGGATGAGTCCTAAAAATAATGTTTTCCTCCGTCCCTAGTTCTAAAATATTTTCCACAACCATGCCTTTAAATGGTCAAGTACAAAAATGACATCAACTACTTTTACTCTCACTTGAGCTTATTTGTCAACGGTGTTTATAATTTGTAAGCCACCAATTAGAAGTGCTCGGTAAAAATAAATATAACCTTCTTTTTCAAAGTGAGCCTCAACTTTAGTTTGATTTAATATTAAGGACCATTTTTTTTATAAAAAAGAAAACCTTTTGAGGCAAATTGGGCTCGTTTAAACACGTTTTTATTTCTATGTTTTTCTGTTATTTTGTTTACCGGAACAAAAAAAGAATAGAAATCCATTTGCGTATGTCATTTAATTTTTATATTCCCCAATATAGAAAAGTGGTCAGGGAATAGATTTGGAGCAAAAATAAAAAGTAAAAAGAATCTACTTCTTTGTTTCTGAGAACAATTTCTGAAACAATGTCATTTTCTTTGTTTTCTTTTCTTTTTTTTCCTTGCTTCTTTTTCCTTCTCTAGCTAGTCGCCTAGCCTCGACAATGGCCAGCGAGGCTAGGAGGAAGAAGAAGGAAGGAAAAATAGAAAAGAAAAAAAGAAAACTTACAAAAATTAGAAAAATCTCGTAAAATCATTAAAATAACTAAAAAAATTCACGTCACAAAATTTTTTTAGGATCGTACTAAACATTTTTCTATCCATTTTTTATTCCGATAATAGAAATTTTATGCAGTTACCAAACGTGTTTTTCTGCTAAGAAACTCATCCAGAAAATAGAAATTAAAAAATATATATTTTTGAAAAGAAATTGTCCCGGGAACAGAAATGTTATCATTCGCACCCTTAAACTACATTAGTTCACTTGGTTTAGCGGTTTGAATCATTTTTTTTTCTTTTCGCTCAATTCTACGCGTATTTGGGGCTCCCAATGTTGTACACAACCCATTTGCACAATACAAATATGACACAAGAAACGAATTACAGAAAGAAAATCCGAATATGACACGACAAGGCATGCTAACTTTATATGCTGACACGAATTGACACATACGTTTTCATTGTAATTAAGCTATCTGCCATATAGAATCAATTAGATCAGCATGAATTGATACGAATTACAAACACGATTTAGAAGTGCTCGCAATTTGTATTAGTGCTTGAGTGTAAAACCTAGCTCAAAAAAGGTGCACATAATGATAATCCTTTCCTCTTTTATATGGATGAAGTTTTTTTTTGGTAAGGAAACTGTTGACACTCAAAATTACCCTTGATGGGAACGGGCCGGTTACAAGTCACAAAGGATATAAAGTACGGCCCACATGGCATAAATCCGGAAAAGGCCATGAGTCAGGCTTAGAGGCATTGAGAAGACTTGAGGTAATTATCGACAGGACAAGTCATAGAAGTGTCGACAAGTCCAAAATTACGAGCTTTGCACGTGACGTCGACGAATTCAAAATCACGAGCTTTGCACGTGACGTCGACAAATTCAAGATCACGAGCTTTTCACGTGACGTCGACAAATTCAAGATCACGAGCTTTGCACGTGACGTCGATGAATCCAAGATCACGAGCTTTGCACGTGACATCGACAAGTCCAAAATCACGAGTTTTACACGTGGTCTGAAATCATGATGACACGTGGCGAAAAATTCATTTTCACGTGTCAAAAGGTAAAGATATGACCGTGGGCGTTAAGATCAAGGAAAGACACTTAGAAAATAGCAAGAAATAAAGAGATGCATGGAAGAAAATCAGCTATTACGTGACGCCCAAGGAGAGTAAGCAACATTGATAAGTCAGGAAGCGGTTAAAGCGCGAAACGTAAGGAAGTGGAAAACGACTTTCAAGGAGAAGTGTTCGGTCAACCGTTATCAAGCTGCTCTATAAATACTCAATGATTTCCAACGTAGAAAGGACCTTTTTCGCAAACAACACAACACATATTTTATCTAGCTTTACTTTTAGCACATTAGGAGTAGTTTCAGCTGTAACTTTCAGATTCTGCGTCGTAGATTCAATTTCGGCAAGAAACTTTGTCAGGTTCAGCATTGTTAATTAAATTCCAATGTTGTGCCATCAGTTCAGCGTTGTCGATTAAATTCCGGCGTTGTGCTTGGAATATAGCTGTTGATTAGATTCCAGCCATATTCTCTCAAGTTACGTCATTGATTAGATTCTGGCGTACCTTGAATGGTAATATCGCATATTAGTTGTGTCGTTGATTAGATTCCAACATAGCTTGATCTCGATATTTGCAAGTTATCATCCCACTGTTGGTATTATCGAGTTTAGTGTATTGTCCAGTCAAGTTGTAAGATATAAGTTGGGCTTAATAAATGCATTTGACATTCTCTATCCGAGCTTGACTCAAGACTCTAGTCTCCTCTAATAAAATCCGAAACACAACGTTTAGTGAAAGATTTTCGATGGGATAAAACCAGCGAAACATCTTTTTGGCACGCCCAGTGGGACTGTTATTGAGTTAAGTAGAGAGAGTGTTATGCCACGCACCCGGAGTAGAACCAACTCGGATAATACTACCTATGAACAAGCTGCATCGATGGCGGAAGATAATACCCGTGCTGAGACATCATCCGCTCAACTTCTTTATACCGAGATTGCTAACCAATCTTGAGAGGAGGTCACAGATATGTCGAGGCAGCGTGTTGAAGATAGAAGGCAAACTGAGCTCACACCAGTTGCACTTTCTACCATGAGGCGGACTATTAAAGAAACTCAGAACGAGTTCGCTGATTATATGGTAAGGCGTATGACTAAAGTGGTTAGGCCTTTGATCATTAACACTTATCATGAATGCACGCAAGGTCA